CCCAGGATCTGGAGCCCCTTGGAGTGTCTGGAGAGCTTGAAGATCCTGAAGACCCGCACCAGGCGGATGACCCTCAGGATGGCCAGGGACATGGCCTGCTGCCCGTTGCCCTGGTGCTCGGCCAGCTCCAGCCCCAGGGTGATGAAGTAGGGCATGATGGCCACGATGTCGATGGTGTTCATGATGTTCTTGAAGAACGCGGGTTTGCTCGGACACGCCAGGAACCGGACGAGCAGCTCGAAAGAGAACCAGATGATGCAGAGAGTCTCCACGATGAAGAACGGGTCTGTGAACGGGTTTGGCTTCTTTACGCGCGCGGTTCCGTTCACCAGCAGGTGCTCGTCTAACGTCCGGGCCTCCTCTCTGAACTCCGGTAAAGTCTCCAGGCAGAAAATCACAATGGAGATGAGGATGACGAGCACGGACACGATGGCGATGCCCCGGGCGGGTCCGGAGCTCTCCGGGTACTCGAACAGGAGCCAGACCTGCCGCTGGAACTCGTTCTCTGGCAGCGGGCGCTCCTCCTCCTTGATGAACCCCTCATCCTCCTTGAAATTCTCAATCACCTCCTCCCCAAGTTCGTAAAATTTAATCTCCTCCATGAAAATGTCCACTGGCACGTTGACGGGTCTCCGGAGCCGCCCCCCGGACTGGTAGTAATAGAGGATGGCATCGAAGCTGGGTCGGTTCCTGTCGAAGAAGTACTCGTTCCTCAGCGGGTCGAAGAAGCGCATCCTCTTGCGCGGGTCCCCGAGCAACGTGCACGGGAACTGGGCGAGCGTCTTCAGCTGCGTCTCGAAGCGCAGCCCGGAGATGTTGATGACCACCCGCTCGCAGCACTCCTGGTTCTCGGCTCGCTCCGGGTCGTACACATCCTGGGCGGACAGCGCGGCCAGTGCCACAGTCTCATCCAGGTTCTCTCCGGGCACCACTGTCATCTTCCCCCCACCCCCCGAGACGAGGGCGACGCTCCCCGCACCTCGGTCCTCTCACGTCCCCTCCGACTCCTCCGCGCGTATTTGGGAAGCAGCCGAGCGTCTCCGCGCGTCCCCCTCTGTGTCCTCCCGGTGCCGGCGTCACGTCTGCGGATGGACCGGTTCCTCTGACATGTTCGTGCCCCCCCACCCGCACTTTTCACGCTCACCTTTCCGTCCACACGCCGCTGTCGTCTGGACTCTGCTGTCACATTCACTGCATTTTAAGCAGGCTTTGCCCTCCCCGAGCTGACGTGTGTGTGCACGCTCTCTCACTGAGGGGGGGGGACAAAAACACACATGCACGCACATATGCTCAACATGAATCCGGTCCAGATATTCAGCAACGAGCACTCACAACACAATAAATCCATTTGTGACACGATATCAGCGGTTTGGAGACAGAAACGCGTCGTGCGTAATGAGCCTGTTGTCTCCAGCGTGGCTCGGCCTCAAGGTTATCACATGTGCTGCTGTTTACGGTGACATACGAGGGGGTCTATGCGGATGTCAACATGCAGTTAAAAGGCGTAAATGCGCGTTTGGAGACGTGGAAGGTGCGAAGAATCTCACGCCAGATTTCATGCAAAAACCGAATTGTTGATCTGATGAATACCTGTGGCTCAGGGCTCCGTCATCACTTCATCCATCCGCGACTCTCTCACACTCAGGGGGAGACGTTTGTGTCGCGCTGCAGCCTTTTCAACACCAAACCTTCCTGACGTCTCCACATCAGCCCTGAACGAGCCTGAGCGGATCCACAAGTTGTGCACGACTCACAGGATCCGTGTCTGCGGCGGACACGATGTGCACGAGAATGTGTTTGCATTCATTTCCCCTTCCTGCTTTCCTGCAGGATATCAAGAGTTTAAAGCAACGTGTCAGTGGAATGGAGGCGAACACTGTGCAACAAGTAAAGAGAGGAGAGAGAGGAGCTGCAGGATGGAAATGAGGGAGAGTTTCTGGGCTGCAGCTCAGAGCAGTGACGTGTTTTCCTAAAATAGCTGGATTTCTCCCAGGGCCGCAGGAAAAGTTTCTTTTCCCATGGAATGACCCGAGGGAGCCGCAGAGGGAAGATGGAAAAACGAGGAAGAGAGAAAGAGAAGATGACATGAAGATGAAAAATCAGATTCAGTCCGAACAGAGAGTCACTGAGAGTCATTCAGAAAACAGGAACCAGAGAGAAGAGAAAGAAAAGTTCACCTGATCAGGACAAACAACATGTTTCACTGGAAACAAGAACATGAGCTTCAGAGAGTTGGGTTGAAATGCAACAAAACTTCAGCTGAAAGTTTTTCTGATTCACAAATTGAGGGAAAACTTTGAAGAATATGTTCCACACATGTATTTTAAAATGTTATCATGAGAACTCGTTCAGACTTTGGCACAGAACATGTGAGGACACTGTTTAACAGAACGCTGCTCGAGAGGCGTTGACACTTTATAATAATAATGCACATGTACTTTACATCTCCTGAAAATAAAACTCATAATAATAATGTATTTTATTCATGAACACATTTCAAAACACACACGAATACTTTGCAAGATAAGATCTAATACATGAAACCTTAGAAACAAGGAGCAGATAAAGTTTAGTGTCCGTGATGCAACAGGAGACGAAGCAGAACATCCAGAGGTTGTTGAGACGCCTCGTCCCCCATGAAGAGCTGAGCAGAGGGACATGAAGAAGAAGGAGGCGAGCAGGAGGCGACTGGACAGGTGAGGAGGCGTCGAACCAAAGTAAACAGTGAATTCAAACGAACGAGGAGTTGAACTGGGAACCAGAGCAGCTGCTGAAGACTCCAGGTGATTAACACCAGGACATAAAGTCATCAAGAGTCTCCAGGGACAGGGACGAGTAGAAGACAGTTGTTTGTGATGTGCACACTTCTATAACTCACTGACATCACTCTCATGAAGGGAGCGACATGAATCCAGATGTTTTTGATCAAACCAAAGTTATCGAACAGTAACACAGGTCATCAGCTAACACTCGTTCTCTCTAAACCTACAGGTTTGTCTGCTGCTCACTGTTAAATAAAGTTTCACTTCTTTGTTTCCTTCGTCAGTTTCTGTTGATGAAAATAACGTGAAGTTAAAAATCCTCAGCTCCGCCTCCTCGTCCAATCACAGAGCTCTTTAAACAGCCACAGGGGCAGAGAAGGGACAAGACCTCATTATCACATGATGCAACTTTTCCACTTCCAATATGAGCGTCTCGCACACACACACACACACACACACACACACACACACACACACACACACACCCTCCTCCCGTCTGGCACTGCGTCGTTTCCTGTTTCCTGTTGTAACTCTTCTTCTTCTCCTCCTCTCGTCCACATGTCGCTCAGCTCTGAGGTATTCAAACGTCTTCCTCTGCTCCTCTGGCAGCTCACTGTCCGGCGCTCGCTCCAGGTTTCTGTTTCCTGTTGGGCTGCAGACGTCTGCGAGGCCTCGAGCGTTAACATCTGTCTCCTCGTGCACTCGCTTCACAGTCAAAGCTGGAAGGAAACATGAGACGTCAGAGGTCTCGTCAGTGAAAGAGCAGGTTCAGAGTTTCAGTCTCTAAAAGGATCGAGAAGAAATAATCTAATTTCTGAGTTGGACTCAACAGGAGACAAAGAGGCAAAGACACAAAGAGACAAGATATAAAAGACATTTCACAAAACACATTATGACAGAAATGTCAAACACTGATTAAAGGAAGTTGTATAAATGTGTCCTCAGGTTGTTGAAGGACTCGTGGAACCTTGTTCAGTAAAAGTCTGATTTCAAATCCTACAGATTAGTTTGTGAGGAACAGATTCTGTTTCCCATGATGCCCCGTTGTTTGTGCTCGCCGCGACACATGACCCGGAGCTCGGCTTGTTTTTGCAGCGCTGGGATCAGCAGAGTCCGAGTCTTTATCACCGATCATTTCTCCAACCGGCACTTCAAACACGTACAAACGTCTCTGGAGAAGTTTCCCACATCTGCGAGTTTTCACTGTCAGAATGATCGATGATCTGCTCCGTTGAAAAAAGTCCAGACTCCACGAGCGTCTAAAACCGTTCATGTAGTCGCTGACGAACAAACAACAAACTGAAAGTGCTGACTTCGCTTCCTTGTTTGTGTTCAGATCTTTGTTTTAGCTGCTGATCCAGGATCAGTGACTGTGACTTAAATGGACGTGTCGCGGCCTCAGTCATTTACCGTTTGACCACGTTTCTTTTGACGCAGAACGAGGATTCTACTTTGTTTCACTCGGAATATTCAAGTTCTCTTATGACCCGTTTGAAAGAGTCGACCTCAGCGTCGTCTGCTCAGAGACTGAAAACCTGACGGACACGTTGGAGCTGCTGATGAGATAATGAGCAGGAACTGGGTTAATGTTTCAGGGAGTGAGAAACTCTGGGGAATCCACAGAAGACGTTTCCATCGGATCTCACCAGGAAAACGTCTGAGACACAGAATCTGCTCCAGTTGTAATATTTTAATCTCCTGATGGAAAAAGCTTTGATCCGCGTCACTGCCGACAAGTTGTGTGTGAGAAGAGTTCGTATCTGTGAGGAGAAGAATCAGTTCTGTGCTTCAGGATTTCACTGTTTAACTGAGTGAGAGAAAAGAGTCTGAACCCAAATCTTAAGTCTCTGACACGTTCTTCTTCTTCTTCTTCTTCTTCTTCTTCTTTACTTGATCTATTGTTGGGTGACAACAATGTCAAGGTGCATTACCTCCACATCATCACAGCCCTTCAGAATAAAATATCTGCTGACTACAAACACAAACAGAGTACTGTCAGTACCACGACTCCTCCAGTGTGAATCCAGATGTGTGTTTGCTCTGCACATCTGGGTCAAGGTGACTCTGCAGAGTCCTCAGACGATGCTGATGTCAGAGGAAACATTAGGAGATTAAAGCCTTCACTGCTACTGTCTCTGCAAAGTCATGAGGTCACTTCCTGCCGACCACAGCAGTTTGTGTGAGTGAACGTGACGGGATTCGAACCTCTGTGAATGAACGGTGCGGCCACGTGGGCTGAAAATAAAAATACAATGATTCCAAAGGATTTAATCAATGTGATGATTCTGTACAAAGTCAAATCTGTTGTTTGTGTCCAGCAGCCATGAAACCTTATTAT